TTCCAGAAAGGCGTTGTCGTACTCCAGGTCCGGCCCGCAAGGCGCGGAGGCGTCCGCCAAGGGCTGCAACCAGCCTTCAACCTGCGCGACCAACTCAGACGAAACGCTCAAGCTCGAACTCCCACAAGGTGACACACCCGCGATCAGATCACGGCGGTCAATACGATAGCTTCAAAGCATGTCCCTCCGACTGGGGTCAACGCTTAGGAAACCGTCAGGATTGAGGGGGTCCGCCGATGGTTCGTGACATGCAGTTCGGATAGCCTCTCGCCCCACTACAACGCAGGGGTTCGAATAATGAAGGGGGTTCAGGGGATCAGGAGGGGACTGCTCGCGATCGGGCTGTGGACGGTGTTCGGCATGGCCGCCGCCCAGACGTCGGCGCAACCCACGCCGCCGCCCGGCAGCGTCCCGACACCCGAGGAACTGGCCCCCAAACCGCAGCCCCGCCGCGACGTCGATGTGCCCCGCCCTGCCCCCCCGCGCGAGCTCGGCAAGCCGGCCGACGACCTGCGCATCGACATCGAGGCCTTCAGCGTTGCGGACGACGCCCCCCCCGAACTGAGGGCCGCGCTGGCCCGGCTGACGGCACCCTTCGTTGGCAAGTCGCGCAGCTTCGAGGACCTGGCCAACGCCGCCGCGGAGGTGACGCGCTTCCTGCAGAGCGAGCTGGGCTACTACCTGGGCTATGCCTACATCCCCGAGCAGCAGACGGTCGGTGGCGTCGTGCGCATCGCCGTGCTCGAGGGCCGGCTGGATGAAGTGCGGCTGAACTGGACCGAAGGGCTGCCGGTGAAGCGCGAGGTCGTGCAGGCTTATCTCGACGAGCTGAAGCCCGGCAGCATCCTCAAGGTGCGCGACGTCGAGCGCGTCGTCTTCCTCGTCAACGACCTGCGCGGCATCACCGCCCAGGTCGAGGTGCAGGCCGGCAGCAAGCCCGGCACGGCCAGCCTGGTCGTCACGCCGCGCGCCGACGCCGCCTGGACGGCCCGCGCCGACCTCGACGCCAACGGCTCGCGCTTCCTCGGCCGCTTCCGGCTGACCGGCCTGGCCACGATGAACAGCCCCTTCGGCCGCGGTGACGGCCTGACGGGCAACGTACTCGCGTCGACGACGGGCGGCCTCTTCTTCGGCCTCGTCAACTACACGACGCCCGTCGGCAGCAGCGGCCTGAAGCTCGGCGCGTCCATCTCGGCGGTGCGCTACCAGCTGGACAAGGACGAATTCCCGCTCGACCTCACCGGCGACGCCGTGACGGTCACCGGCTTCGGCCTGTACCCCGTCATCCGTTCGCGCAACCTGAACTTCTTCTCGCTGCTGTCGGTGGAGCACAAGCAGTTCAGCGACAAGAGCGCCGCGACGCTGCCGGTCAAGAAGAGTTCCGACACGCTGGCGCTGGGCGGCAACGGCGACTTCCGCGACAGCCTGCTCGGCGGCGGCGTCAACACCTACGAGTTCGCGGGCATCGCCGGCCGCCTCAAGTTCGACGTGCAGCAGCCCGGCCAGGACCCGGCCAACTTCAGCAAGGTGACCGGCGGCTTCACGCGGCTGCAGAACATCCTCACCAACCGCCTGCTCGCCTACGTCGCCGTGCGTGGCCAGATGGGCCTGCAGAACCTGGACACCACCGAGCAGTTCCGCCTCGGCGGCCCGGACGGCGTGCGCGCGTTCGCCCCCGGCGAGGGCACCGGCGACAGCGGCGTCATCGGCAGCTTCGAGCTGCGCTTCCTGCCGCCCGAGTCCCTGTTCGGGCGCATCGGCCGCGAATCCGTCGTCAGCTTCTTCTACGACGTCGGCCACATCAAGTACCGCAAGGACCCGTCCGCGCAGCTCCAGCAGGACGACACCTTCGTGAACACGGCGACGCTGGGCGGCGCCGGCGTGGCGGCCACCTGGGTGCGCGCCGGCGAGTTCGCGCTGCGCCTGAGCGTGGCCAGCCGCACCAATGGCACGCCCAAGAGCGACACCAAGGGCAGCAGCACCCGCGCCTACGCCCAGCTCACCTACTTCATCAAGTAGCCGCACATTGCCAGCTGGCGGCCGAGGCCGCCCCGCATACCTATCAGGGAGATCGACATGCCTTCTGACCGCAGCTCGCGACCGAGCCACTGGCATCTGCGCATCCATCCGCTCAGCTGGGCCATCGCCGCGGCGCTGGCGCCCGTCACCGCCGGCGCGCTGCCGCAGGGCGGCATCGTCAAGCAGGGCGACGTCACGATCCAGACGCCGCAGTCGGGTCAGATGCAGATCAACCAGTCCACCCAGACGGCCGCCGTCGACTGGCGCAGCTTCTCGGTCGACAAGGGCGAAACCGTCCGCATCATCCAGCCCAACTCGCAGTCGCTGCTGATCAACCGCGTCATCGGCTACGACCCCACGCGCATCCTCGGCCAGATCAACGCCAACGGCCGCGTCGTGCTCAGCAACCCGCGCGGCGTGTACTTCGCGCCGGGCTCGCAGGTCGATGTCGGCAGCCTCGTCGCCACGACGCTGAGCATCAGCGACGCCGACCTGCAGAGCGGCCGGCTGCGCCTGGGCGCCTCGACCGAAGGCGCCGGTGAACTGCGCGCCGAAGGCAGCATCCGCGCCGCGGACGCCGTCGTCCTCGTCGCACCGCAGCTGACGGCCAGCGGCAGCATCGACGCCGCCCGCGTCGGCCTCGCCGCGGCCAGCCACGTGACGGTCGACGTCGAGGGCGACGGCCTCGTGCTGTTCAACGCCCGCAACGACGACAACCTGGAAACGCGGCTGAACCAGCTCGGCCAGATCAACGCCACGCAGAGCGCGGAGCTGCGCGCCGTCGCGCGCGCCGGCTTTGCCGACACGGTGCTGAACCTCGAAGGCGTCGTGCGCGCGCGCTCGCTGGAAGGCGTCGGCGGCCGTGTCGTCGTCGATGGCGGCAGCACGGGCGTGACCTCGGTCAACGGCAAGATCGACGCCAGCAGCGGCGACGGCCACGCAGGCGGCGATGTGCTGGTGCAGGGCCAGCGCATCATGCTGGACAACGGCGCGCAGCTGGACGCGTCCGGAGGCACCGGCGGCGGGCGCATCCGCGTGGGTGGCGATTTCCACGGCGCCGGCACGGACATCACGAACGCCGAGATGCTCATCGTGCGCCCCGGCGCGCGGCTGAAGGCCGATGCCGGCACCCGAGGCGATGGCGGCCAGGTGGTGCTGTGGTCGGAGCTGAACACCGTATTCCTGGGCAGCCTGAGTGCGCGCGGCGGCAGCCTGGGTGGCAACGGCGGGCAGGCGGAGGTGTCGGGTCGGCACGGCCTGAGCTTCGACGGCGCCTCGGACCTCAGCGCCGCACACGGGCAGTTGGGCCAGTTGCTGCTGGACCCGGATGACATCACCATCGCGACCAGTGCCGGCGCCATCTCCGCCAACATCGACTTCGGCAACCCGACTGCGGATCGCACGGTGAATGCCAGTGCGCTCCAGACGCTGCTGAATGCGCAGGACGTGAGGCTGCAGGCCAACAACAACATCATCGTCAACAACGGTGTCACCGTCAGCGGGTCCGGGAAACTGAGCCTGGAGGCTGGCCGCAACATCACGGTCAACAACGCGACGCTGGCGACCACCGGCCTCACGCTGTCCGCCAACACGACCGGCGGCAACACCAACGGCACCGGTGCGGTGACCATCAACGGCGGAGCCGACCTGAGCGCAGGCGCATCTGGCACCCTGCTGATCACCAACAACGGCGCCTCGACGACCAACACCATCAGCGGCACCGCCAGCCTGCTGGCCAACACGCTCACGCTCAACGGCAACACGTCGCTGAACGGCTCGCTGACGGTCTCGACGGTCAACGTCATCGCAGGCACGGCGGCCCTGGCGGCCAACAATGTCCTGCCGAGTGCGGCCCAAGTGGTCGTCAACGGCGGCACGCTCGACATCAACACGCGCACCAATACCGTGGCGGGGGTGTCGCTGCAAAGCGGCAGCATCACCGGCTCCGCCGGCGGTGTGCTCACCAGCACCACGGACTTCGACGTGCAGGCGGGCAACGTCAGCGCCGTCCTCGCGGGCGCCGTGGGCCTCGTGAAGTCGACCACCGGCACCGTCACGCTGGCCGGCACCAACACCTACAGCGGCACCACCGCCATCAACGCCGGCACGCTCAGCGTCGGCAACGGCGGCACCACCGGCACGCTGGGCTCGGGCGCCGTCACCAACGACGGCACGCTGGTCGTCAACCGCAGCAACGCCATCACCATCGCCAATGCCATCGGCGGCACGGTGCGCTGGACAAGCAGGGCAGCAACACCCTCACGCTGACCGGGCGCCAACACCTACAGCGGCACCACCACCATCGCCACGGGCGGCACGCTGGCGGTCGGCAACGGCGGCACCGACCGGCACGCTGGGCACCGGCGCCGTCACGAACAACGGCACGCTGGCGTCAACCGCAGCGACGCCGTCACCATCGCCAATGCCATCGGCGGCACCGGCGCGCTGGACAAGCAGGGCGCCAACACCCTCACGCTGACGGGTGCCAACACCTACAGCGGCACCACCACCATCGCCTCCGGCGGCACCTGAGTGTCGGCAACGGCGGCACCACCGGCACGCTGGGTTCGGGCGCCGTCACCAACAACGGCACGCTCGCCATCAACCGCAGCGACGCCGTCACGGTGGCCAACGCCATCGGCGGCACCGGCGCGCTGGACAAGCAGGGCACCAACACCGCTCACGCTGACCGGCGCCAACACCTACAGCGGCACCACCGCCATCGCGCAGGCGGCACGCTCAACGTCGGCAATGGCGGCACCACCGGCACGCTGGGCACCGGCACCGTCACCAACGACGGCACGCTCGTGCTGGAACCGCAGCAACGCCCTCACCGTCGCCGCCGTCATCGCCGGCAGCGGCGACCTGGTGAAGCAGGGCGCCGGCACGACCTCGCTGACCGGCGCCAACACCTACAGCGGCACCACCACCATCAATGCCGGCACGCTCAGCGTCGGCAATGGCGGCACCACCGGCGCCGTGGGCTCCGGCGCCATCACCGGCACCGGCACGCTGGCCTTCAACCGCAGCAATGCCCTCACCGTCAGCGGCAACATCAGCAGCGATCTGAACCTGGCCCAGCTCGGCACCGGCACCCTCACGCTGACGGGCGCCAACACCTACAGCGGCACCACCACCGTCGCCGCGGGCGGCACCCTGAGTGTCGGCAACGGCGGCACCACCGGCACGCTGGGCACCGGCGCCGTCACGAACAACGGCACGCTGGCGTCAACCGCAGCGACGCCGTCACCATCGCCAATGCCATCGGCGGCACCGGCGCGCTGGACAAGCAGGGCGCCAACACCCTCACGCTGACGGGTGCCAACACCTACAGCGGCACCACCACCATCGCCTCCGGCGGCACGCTGAGCGTCGGCAACGGCGGCACCACCGGCACGCTGGGTTCGGGCGCCGTCACCAACAACGGCACGCTGGTCGTCAACCGCAGCGACGCCGTCACGGTGGCCAACGCCATCGGCGGCACCGGCGCGCTGGACAAGCAGGGCACCAACACCGCTCACGCTGACCGGCGCCAACACCTACAGCGGCACCACCACCATCGCGGCAGGCGGCACGCTCAACGTCGGCAATGGCGGCACCACCGGCACGCTGGGCACCGGCACCGTCACCAACGACGGCACGCTCGTGCTGGACCGCAGCAACGCCCTCACCGTCGCCGCCGTCATCGCCGGCACGGCAACCTGGTGAAGCAGGCCGCCGGCACGACCTCGCTGACCGGCGCCAACACCTACAGCGGCACCACCGCCATCAATGCCGGCACGCTCAGCGTCGGCAATGGCGGCACCACCGGCACGCTGGGCTCGGGCGCCGTCACCAACGACGGCACGCTGGTCGTCAACCGCAGCAACGCCATCACCATCGCCAACGCCATCGGCGGCACCGGTGCGCTGGACAAGCAGGGCAGCAACACCCTCACGCTGACCGGCGCCAACACCTACAGCGGCACCACCACCATCGCTTCCGGCGGCACGCTGGCGTCGGCAACGGCGGCACCACCGGCACGCTGGGCTCGGGCGCCGGTCACCAACAACGGCACGCTGGTCGTCAACCGCAGCAACGCCGTCACGTGGCCAATGCCATCGGCGGCACCGGCGCGCTGGACAAGCAGGGCAGCAACACCCTCACGCTGACCGGCGCCAACACCTACAGCGGCACCACCACCATCGCCACAGGCGGCACGCTCAGTGTCGGCAACGGCGGCACCACCGGCACGCTGGGTTCGGGCGCCGGTCACCAACAACGGCACGCTGCCATCAACCGCAGCGACGCCGTCACGGTGGCCAACGCCATCGGCGGCACCGGCGCGCTGGACAAGCAGGGCACCAACACCCTCACGCTGACCGGCGCCAACACCTACAGCGGCACCACCGCCATCGCGGCGGGCGGCACCGTCAATGTCGGCAACGGCGGCACGACCGGCACGCTGGGCACCGGCACCGTCACCAACGACGGCACGCTCGTACTGGACCGCAGCAACGCCCTCACCGTCGCCGCCGTCATCGCTGGCAGCGGCGATCTGGTGAAGCAGGCCACAGGCACGACCTCGCTGACCGGCGCCAACACCTACACAGGCACCACCGCCATCAACGCCGGCACGCTC